CGACGGTGAAGGAAAATATCGTGAGGAAACCTGCATGTCTGAGAAATAAGAAAAAAATATTTCGAAGACATGTGAAGTTCACCAACACGCATTAGGGCAGCGCGGTGGACAATTCCTTGCCCTAATACCCTCTCAGAAATGAGAGGAGGCCTGTGCCCAGCTTGGGACGTAAATAGGCTGCAACCTTACTACTTTACTTTTATATTATAGAAAATACATTCATTAACAATTTTAAAACATTATAATAAAAAAACAGCAAATAATTTACTCAAATTATTAACGAATATTATGTGTCCATGTTTTCCATTCAAGTATTTACTTAAATTATACATCAGATTTAAAGTTTTTCCATTGTTAAATATAAAAACCATTATTTTAGAGATAGTGAAAAAACATATGACATTATATTACAGTAAAACAGTTGTAAATTAAATGAATAATTACAGGGCACTATACGTACTGCATTATTTTACTCTTTGTTGAAAGCCCCGGTAACCACGAAATATCATCCGTGACATTTAGCTACTACCTACTAAAGGTCAATGGTCCGTGACGTAGGAAGGGAAAAGATGCAAAAGCATACGAACACTCGCGCGCAGCTATAAAGTTTAATTTAGCTTGTGTGCTTGATTTACCTATTTAATAATAATTATGTAGGCTATAAAACATCGGCATGTAGTCATCATCAAAGAAGTGTAACTTCTGCACATAGTACTATTATTTATTCTATGCCTTGACTAATATCACTGGCTTGTTACAGATAAAAGCAACGAACCGATCGCGGGTTGGTACCGACGAATTGTACATACCAAAATTATGGTATTATGATTTAATCATGTTTTTGTCAGAAAGTGACAATGCCTCCAGGAGTTCAAAAGACATCGATAAGATACTAAATGAAATTGCCACTACTGATAATCAGGTAAAGACATAATTAATCTGCTTTGTTCGCGCCTTTGATGACGATAAAATATTGAGGATATATACGTGTTTATTTGTAATTTAAAATAGACAGACGGTAAAATTAAAAATTTTATACAACCTACTTTAATATAAATTAAATCAATTCAAAAACATAAACAAAACAAATAAAAAAAGTTATAACATCATCAATGTATTTGAAACCAATTAAATATAACTTCAAAACTACTGGTCAGATCTTCATCAAATTTATATGAAATCACATGAGAAGAACCACCTTTCAAATATAAACAGAATCATCAAAATCGCTTAACCTAAAAAAAGGTCTGAGATAACATCCTGATATAAAAAAAAACATCCGAATTGAGAACCTCCTCCTTATTTGAAGTCGGTTAAAATGAGGTCAAACAAAACGTATTGGTACCTACCAATACATTTTGTTCGAGTTTGTACCTATCATAATTTTCTTTGGAATATGCCATGTTTTTTTCACTATGATTATTTTCACTCTTGAATACCAACAACTTTTTCTATGGAGCAAGCTTTTCTAGTCAAAAAATTAGCTGATTCATACAAAATAACGATTCCTACTCGACCAAGATATGTTAAACATCTGATTTCTTTCGAGTAGGTTGATCCCATATTAAATGTTCGTATTCGTGATTACTGCCATCACTGGAATTGTTCGAATTTCTTTTTATAGGAGATGGGGCAAACGAGCTTGCGGCTCACCTGATAGTAAGTGACTACCGCCGCCCATGAACAACCGCAACACCAGGGAGGGCATTGCAGATGCGTTGCCGGTCTTTTAAAAAGGAGTACGCTCTTTTCTAATCGGTTCGGAAAAATCGCTGATGATAATCGATTCCACAAGGAAGTCGTGCGAGAAAGAAAACATCTTCTAAATCGCACAGTGGTGGACCGCCAATCATCCAGATGGTGTGGATGGTATCGGGAGGTCTGCCGCGATGTGCGTTCGTGAAATTTAGTGGCTGGGATTAACCCGAACAATTCCTCAGAGCACTCCCCATGGTAGATGCGAAAGAAAATGCAAAGGGATGCAACATCTCTTCGCAGTGCCAATGAATCGAGCTGATCGGAAAGGACTCGGTCGTCGACGATTCGAGCCGCTCTAGTCTAGTGGAAGGAGCTGGCACTGGGGAGCCCCTACCCAGAGATGGGAACAGTATTCCATGTGAGGCCGAACCTGCGCCTTGTAAAGTTGCAGGCGGTGTGCCGGCATGAAATACTGTCCCGCTCTGCTGAGCACGCCAAGCTTTTTAGAGGCCAATTTGGCCTTCTCTTCAAAGTGACCACGAAACTGCACGTCACTCCATATGTCGCCACCGAGGATTCCGATACTGGCTGAGGCAACAATGAAACTGAGGAGATACGACAAAGGGGTTCTTTGTAACTTCTTGGAAACTTGTATCTTCTGGGGATTGGAATGGACTAGATTAAGTCGCCCCCAGTCTGTGGCTTTGTTCAACAAAGTCTCGACTTCAGAGGTTCAGACACAAGTTTGATCCGGTATTTGGCGACGTTTTCCCGAGAAATATTGGCACGGCCGTTGTATAGAGCATCACCAGTGCTGTCTTCTGCATAGCAATGAATGTTACCGGTTTGCAACATATTATTGATATGCAGAAGAAACAGCGTTGGTGATAGCACACAGCCTTGTGGAACACCAGCGTTAATAGGTTTGTAGTCGGAGCATGCACCGTCTACAACAACCTTGATGCTCCGATCTGCAAGGAAGCTGGGGATACAATTGCACAATTTCTCGGGAAGCCCATAGTAAGGGAACTTAGATAGAAGCGCTTTGTGCCAAACCCGATCGAAGGCCTTCGCAATGTACAAACTAACGGCCAACGCCTCCCCCTTGGACTCTACTGCCTCCGCCAATCTATGAGTCAGGTAGACCAGAAGATCACCAGCTGATCGACCCTGACGAAAACCGTATTGGCGGTCACTAATCAACTGGTGATCCTCAAGGTACCGCATGAGTTGGCAATTAATAATGGATTCCATTATTTTGGAGAACAAGGAGGTGATCGCGATAGGCCTATAGTTGGTCGGGTCTGAGCGGTCGCCTTTTTAAGGGATCGGGTGGACAAAAGCTGTCTTCCATGAATTCGGGACTAGGCCTTGGGAGTTGGAGTACCGGAAAAGACGCGTTAGGACCGGTGCCAACTCCGGAGCACACGTACTCAGCACAATAGGGGGGATTCCGTCAGGCCCACTCGACTTCTGGATGTCCAGGGAGATGCGTGCTTTGCGAATCGAGCGCTGTGAAAAGAGCACATCGGGCATGGAGCACTCACACCGCGGGATGGTCGGCGGTGTTTTCCCCCCGTCATCAAGAGTCGAGTTGGACGCAAAAAGGGAGCATAAAAGGTCGGCTTGGTCTTTTGCGGCTTGGGCCAGTGAGTCGTCCTCCCTGTGCAGAGATGGCAGTGATGGCTTACAGAAATTTCCTTGGTTCCCGAAGAAAGGTGAACTAGTTTCTCGCCAAATCTGCCTATGTGCTCTGACTTTGCCTTGGCAATAACTCTTTTGAAGGACCTGGAGGCGAAGTAATTTTTCTTTTTAAGTGTACTGGTGTTTATATCCCGAGTCGCCGAAGCCGCAGCCCAGGCTTGATAACACTCCTGCTTACTGCGTAATGCAGTCTTACAGGAGCGACCAAACCAATGCTGAGATCTGCCTCCGATGGGTACCACAGATGATGGAATAAATAGTTCCACACCCTGTAGCACCACATCAGTGACAAAGTCAGCAACAGCGCTGGGATCATCCGGCGAGAAGCAAACCCGCCCCCATGGGTAGGATGAAAAGAAAGACCGCATTCCGTACCAATCCGCAGACCTGTAATGCCAAACACGGCGGCAACCTGCAGAACGCAACCGCGAGGAGAGCGTGAGTGGCACCACACTCCTGATCAGACAGTGGTCCGAAGAGCCGAGAGGGGCATCGACGGAAACCTGATATCCGTCCGGATGAGAGGTCTGCAGAAGGTCCAACAGGGAACGTGTATGATCCTCCACATCTGGAATCCGCGTAGGCGAAGTAACCAGTTGTGTTAGACCATATGCCAAGGCAAAGTCATTAACAGATCTCCCCGCATGATCGGTTAAACGTGAAACGAGCCAATCGGCGTGGTGGGCGTTAAAATCGCCAAGTATCACGATCTCTGCGGATGGGACCTGATATAGCAAGGAATCTGTAGCCATTTGGACGTGGTCGATGAGTCGGTCTGTTTCGGCATTACCGCTATGGGACTTATAGAGGCACCCGTAGACGCGCGGATGGTCGTCGCTGTCTACGCGTAGCCAAAGGATGGACAGGTCCGAACCTTCAAGACTGCCGAGGCGTCGAGAACAGATGTCCTCTCTGACATACACGCAAACTCCAGCCCGAGGCACAAAGGAGTGCTCCAATTTGTACCCCGGGTAGGAGAGATACGAAATATCAGCCGGAGAGGAACCTGCGTCTCGGTCAGAAAGAGCAAGGCCGGCTTCGCCGTCTCGAGATGGTAGTGGACGGCGTTTAGGTTCGAGTGAATTCACCTGATGTTGCAGAAATTCACGGATAGCGTGGCAGAGGTCGCCTTGGTATATTTGTTTAGTTTGCCCCAAGCAGTTATGTTTTTGAGCGGAATTTTGCCCCCCCCCCCCCCCCCACCCCCGAATACGCGGGGCAGGCTGAGCACCTATGCTCAGGTACTAAGTAGATTAACATGGTCGTGGATGCTCAGCGAGGGATTCGCCAGGGGTGCTGGTACACTCCTGGGGTAGTCTTTCGTGTAATTCCACTACCATGTCGTCGATGGAGGGGGGGGGGGGGAATTGGGCCTCCGGCCACCTGCACTCACCAGACGAAACGCAGAAGCAGAGCTTCTACTACACGCCGATATTCTGTGAGGTCGTGTTACTAACCCGGCTCGAGCCAGCCCATACGTGCAATAGCAAAAACTGCTGCGTGGCTCTACCACCGTTAGCTTTATGATAATTGGGTATAATGTTTTAAAATAAAACATCAGTAGCTTCTTTTTTCATTATATTTATTGTAGAAGTAAACTAAATGAATGCTCTCTCATTTTGCCAACTAACAGCACCTTCACCATTAAAATATTGTACATATTCTTCTCTTACAAATTTTGCATCATTGCTAATATTGCCATTAATTACATTTAATGGAATGATACCTTGTACTGGTATATTTTCTTCCACAGTACTGTCGTCAATAGCAAATAATTCATAGTCTGAATAATTAGATCCCGACCTCCTCAAAAAATTATGGAGAATACAACACGTTAGGACAACAAGATCGATTCGTTGTATACTCAAATTAATGGCCGTATTAAAAATTCGAAAACGACGAGTCATTATTCCAAAAACATTTTCAATTACTCTTCTTGCTCGTGATAATCCATAATTATATTCTCTTCTCTCTGTAGTTAGAACATTTTTACCAAAAGGCTTCATAAGGTTGGGTGTTAATTTAAATGCTTCGTCGGCCACAAATACAAAAGGCAAATCTTTGGTACTGTTTTGGGGCTCCTTTTTATTGGGAATATTTAAGTCGTGATTATTTAACTTCTAATGAAGACGCGTTTCAGTAATAGCACCACCATCAGATCTTCTGCCATTTACACCGGCTTCGCACCATATAATTTCGTAATTTGCATTGGCACAAGCCATTAAAACAATGCTAAAAAATTTTTTGTAGTTGTAGTAAGTGGCAATTGATCCAGGCGGTGGCACAATGCGGACGTGTTTGCCGTCGATAGCGCCCAGACAGTTAGGAAATTGCCATTTTTCTTCGTATCCTTTCGCAATTGTTCGCTACTTGGCCTCTGTTTCTGGCATTTGTGATAAAAGCATGTGTATTTATAAGGATGATGTGGACACGAATACTGAGGAAAAGATAGAGAAAGAGTGTAATTAGTCAGCACGCAGGGCACCCACGAGCATATCGCAACAAAACTACCCACGGCAAATTAATATTGCAAAAAGAAAAGTAAAAAATGCCGCAACAGAAGTTTTATCAAAAATATCAAACAGGCTGAATTCACCAGTTACAAAATCAAAACCACCATATAGTGCATTTGGCGAGCATGTGGCTGAAAAGTTGAGAAGTATGAACCAAGATGCAGCCAAATATTGTAAAAAATAATAAATGACGCAATATTTTATGCTGAATTCAATAACTTAAATTATACATCCCACATTGTCACCGACTATCTGCAACATCTTCAATCACCGACCATACAAAATCAATCACCCTATCAGTCTTCTCACCAACGGTCTAGATTTTCACCATCCTCATCTTCGCAAACTCAGTCACCACCATCACATCAACATTTGGCTTCACCGTCTATACTAAATCAACCACCCTATCAGTCTTCACAGCTACGGTCTAGATTTTCACCATCCCCATCTTCGCAAACTCAGTCACCACCATCACATCAACATTTGGCTTCACCATCTATACTAAATCAACCACCCTATCAGTCTCCTCACCAACGGTCTAGATTTTCTGCATCACCATCTCCCCAAACGCATTCACCATCACTACCTCAGCTACCTTTAGAATCACCGTCCATACAAAATAAATCCCACTATCAGTCGTCTCACCAACGGTCTACATTTTTAACATCGCCATCTTCTCAAACTCTATCACCACCATCACATCAACATTTGCCATCACCGTCCACGCTAAGTCAACCACCCCATCAGCCTTCTCACGAACAGTATAGATTTTCAGCATCACCATCACCACATCAACAGCTACCTATAGCATCATCGTCCGTACAAAATAAATCCCACTATCAGTCGTCTCACCAACGGTCTACATTTTTAAGATCACCATCTTATCAAACTCAATCACCACCATCACATCAACATTTGCCATCACCGTCCATACTAAATCAACAATCCCATTAGTCTTTTCACGTACAGTCTAGATTTTTAGCATCACCATCACCACATCAACAGCTACCTATAGCATCATCGTCCGTACAAAATGAATCCCACTATCAGTTGTCTCACCAACGGTCTACATTTTTAACATCACCATCTTCTCAAACTCAATCACCACCATCACATCAACATTTGCCATCAACGTCCATACTAAATCAACAACCCCATCAGTCTTCTCACGAACAGTCTAGATTTTTAGCATCACCATCACCACATCAACAGCTACCTATAGCATCATCGTCCGTACAAAATGAATCCCACTATCAGTTGTCTCACCAACGGTCTACATTTTTAACATCACCATCTTCTCAAACTCAATCACCACCATCACATCAACATTTGCCATCAACGTCCATACTAAATCAACAACCCCATCAGTCTTCCTATATATCTTTATTTGGACCAGAGACACCCTGAAGAGTTATTTAAGTCTAATACATATAAATAAAAAACTTGTCTTTCTACCTTAATTTTATTATTGTACCCAGTATCCTCTACCCTAGTTACACCTTAAATATAAAATACGTGGCTTTATTTAGAAATGTCATACAAAACGAAAGGTGAATGTATACACAATACAAACAATTTTTACTATAGAACTAACTTTGGCATGGCAACATGCATTTATATCATCAATAAGACAATTTGAAGAGAATCGCATAAAAAATTGAGTAGGTAGGAATAGTTTTTGGTACTCAAACGCCGATTCCTCCTGGACTAATTCGTCACTGACGCCGCAAAGAGGCGAACCTCAATTTATCAAAAAATTTGGTACAGGACGACAAGAAAACATTTATTATTCCCCGATTACTAGCTTATTTTCATCAGAAAATTAAATATATTAGACTTAATGGAAAACTACAAATAAGATTAATTTACTGATGAAAAGAAGCCAGTAATCGCAGAATAATAAATGTTTTCTTGCTCTCCTGTAATTTTTCGAAAAATTGAGGTTCGCCCCTTTGCAGCGTTAGTGACGAATTACTTATTCAACCTATAAAATACCTACCTTCATATAATCTTTCAATACCATGAGTATTGCTTTACATGTTTCCGGAATTATAACATATTTCATATTTGATTATTTATTAAGATAGGAAAAAATTCTACATAATACTTAATTTTATCTACAATATTAAAAACTATGATAATAAAAAAAAACTAAAACTAGAAACTTAATTATCATATAGTCCTACTCCACGCGGTTTCGTGCCAAGAACGCTGGCTGCGTTTCCCCGCTGAATGGCTATACTTAGCCTTTGAGCAAGGAAAGAACCAGCCCTCTTATCACCAGCAGCAACGACCAGCCGCGAATGGAGTTCCTTTAGGAACTTCACCGCACGTGGACCCCACGGACCGATAGTCTCTACAACAAATGGCACAAATATGTAGTCATCTCTCAGAGACTCATATTTGCGCCACTTACTCAGTTCAGCTGCCTCTGATGCTGCCCCGGCTTTAAACGAGGTACCCCTGAGATGAGAGGCCGCCAGAGTGTCTACGCAAGTAGCATCTCACACTAGGGCTTTACCTCTCTCCCAAGGGACCAATGTCATACCGTCGCGTCTCTTGCCATCGTCTCTAAATATTCCACAAGGCTCTAAAACCGAGGGAACATTTATAGAGGCAAGAGCCCTTCGGATGACATCGTCCAAAGAACTGTGTCGTAAAAACCTACCAGCGCTTTTCTTACATGAAAGTCCGTGGAGCCCAAACATGTCGACGCTGCTACCACAGGGGCACTGATGGGGTTGACAAATCGCCGCTCCTAGACGGATTCCTACGGCAATGCGCAAGCTTTCCCTATCAAGTAATGTACCGAGATTACTTGATGGTAAAGCGTGTAACCAGTGACTAGATTCCTTAGTCGAAACAGCTAGAAGACGTGCCTTATCTTGGTCACTATGGAAATTATTAAACAAATCCTTCTGCACGCCCTGTACCAACGGAATATCCCACTGTTTTTGTTGGTTAACTTCCAGTGGAATATTTTCACCAGGACAGAGCGTTTGCCATGTCTACCCTGCCTCCGTAGCAAAGCATAGGTCTACTTTATTATTTAAAATTATGTTACATAAGTCACTGACACTATGCACGGAAGCAAGGAAAGCAGGCAATGCAACGCTAGAAAGATTTCTCACACCAATGCCACTAAATTTTATAGGTAAAGTAGCTTGAGTCCAGGCTGTTGTATTTAAAGTTAAATTTAAAATTATAACTCCAAGAAGTTGTGGCGATATTACAGTTTGAAATTTCAATTCTTCATAGCTCATTCCCGATGCTAAAAAACGAAGAGTGGCAGTCAGCCTTTCATTGGGGCTAACAGCTTGTCTCATATTTGTATCTTGTTTCACAATATATGGGGTCACAAGTTCAAGTAGCTTGAAATATGTGTATTCGTCCATTCTTAAATAGTTACGCCAGTCACTTGGTTCCAGTGATAACTCATTTAATAAATTAATATGAGATAATTGATATCTCTTTTTTAACCATTCTTTCGTCGATTTTTTTTGGGTTTTGAAGTTAAATGGCAACAAACGGCCTAATAAATAGTAGTAAGTAAAATATCCTCTTCAGAAGATGAATCCATTTTTTTTCAACTGACGCGGTGAGAGGTTTGTTAGCCACACATGTAGCGCACATATACGCGCGGCCCCGTCGATCGAGAAATGACATAGTTTGAATAGAATACAGTAGGTAATCTACGCGTTTGAACTAGGACTGTTGATAAAATATCGATATATCCAAAAATCGATATTATTATTTAGAAATATCGACATTTATTACTAATATTTTTTGGAAAATATACCGTGTCGTGAAGCGACAATTAAAAATAAAAGAATCTAACCTAACAGCAACAAAACAACAAAAATACTACAAAAACAAATAATATATTTAAGATTTAAAAAATATTTAAAATTTTATATAGTAAAATGGGGTATGAAGATGAGGATGGATGTCGTGATTTACAAATTTTTAAAAAAAAAAAGGTAGTAAAAAAAAGATTAGCGTCGAAGCTGAGCCCGAAGATCCAAGGTGTACAGCAAGTGCTCTCAGCGCCTGGAACGAGCACGCACGGCGTAGGTGAGAAGGCGTGGGCGTCTCTAGGCGACGACCTCAGGTGAATGCGGTGGTTTCAAGATCCGGTGATTTCAGGCAAGACAGGGGCTTGCAGGATCCTCAGCGACTTCAGACAGGACAGAGGCCTGCAGGATCCGGTGACTTCAGGCGGGACAGAGGTTTCAGGATCCGGCGACATCAGGCAGAGCAGAGACTTGTAGGATCCCGGCGACTTCAGGCAGAGCAAAGGCTTGTAGGATCCGGCGACTTCAGGCAGGGCAGAGGTTCGTAGAGTCCAGTAGCTTCAAGCAGGACAGAGGCTTGCAGGATCCCGGGGCAGTGCGGCCCCGGGATAAGGCCTTTAGGAGATGCTTCGAACTCGAGAACTGAAGCGAGACTGCATTTCTTCACCGATTGTTCGGCTTTTATACCTTTCTAGAGAG